AAGACACAGTTGCCACCAGAGACGCCGATACAGCACAAGCCCTGAGAGAAAAACACCCGCCCAGAGCTCCACGTGACGACAGTGTTCCCCTAGTCAGTGTCACCAGAGCAGAACCCCTGTGTGTGCTCGAATCCGTGGTGCGTAAAGCAGCCTTTTCCTTCCCAACAGGATCAGCAGGCGGGTTCACAATACTAAGACCCAGCCACATGAAACAAATGCTCAACCCTGCACTAGGAGACATTGCACAGGGCCTCCTGGTGGAACTAACTAGATTCTCCAACACATGTCTAGCTGGCAACATACCAGAGACCATACGGCCTCTCTTTTGGCACTACCCTCTGTGCCCTGAGGAAAAAGGATAAAGGAGTCAAACCGTTACCTGTGACCAATTCACTCTAGTGCCTCGTCGCTAAGGCTGCTGCTAGAACAGTTAGCCAAGCAGCAGACATGCTGAAGCCAAAACAGCTTGGGTTTGGTATTCCCCAAGGGTGTGAGGCAGCAGCTCATGCAACTAGAGCCTACATTACCAACATTACAAATAAAAAAGCCCTGATTAAACTGGATTTCAAAAATACTTCCAATCTGGTTAGAAGGGATGCAGTACTCAGTGCGGTTCATCGCCTTTTTCCTTCCCTCTACCCGTTTGTTAACTCATGCTACAGCAAGAATCTAACTCTGTTATTCGGGGAACATGAAATTGAGTCACAAGAAGGTGTCCAACAGGGTGACCCCCTTCCTCCTTTTCTTTTCTGCCTAGTCATCAAGGAAGTCACCGATAACCTGTCCAGTGAGCTCAACATTTGGTTTTTGAACGATGGTACTCTAGCCGGCTCCCCAGCCTCACTCTTGGACGACATAAGAATAATTCAGGAGCAAGGAGCAAGTCTAGGCCTCAACCTGAACTCTTCCAAGTGTGAAATAACCTCCACCATTCAACACATAATAGAGCGAATAAAGGTTGTTTTGCCTGATATTCATACAACCAACCCTGAGGACAGCACACTCCTAGGTGTTCGTCTTGGAGGGAATGCCATCGACGAGGTCCTGGGTAAGATCACTGACCTGAAGAGGATGAACGAGAGGATTGAAGACATCGATGCTCAAGATGCACTTTACCTCATCACCAGATGCTTGTCCCTCCCCAGGCTGATCTACTTTCTTAGATGTTCGCCATCTTTCAATAATATTAAATTAGAAGAGTACGACAGCTTGCTGAAATCAATGCTAGAAAAAGTCCTCAACCTTTCTCTCAGCGACTCACAGTGGAAACAGGCCTCCCTTCCTGTCAGACTCGGGGCCTTGGCGTGCGCACAGCAACACAAATTGCTGTACCAGCGTTCCTGTCCTCTTCAGTGGGGTCTGACAACTTGGTGAAGGAAATCCTACCTGAGTACCTATGTCAACAGGCAGGGATACATGATCTCACCTTTGCGGTCTGCACCACCAAATGGGTCTCTCTCGCAGGACCAGCACCCCAACCACCACCTTCTGTAGCTCACAAGCAATCCAGCTGGGATCGCCCCATTGTCGACGAAGGAGCTGTGACATGCTAGAAGCTGCGGCAACACCACATGACACTGCCCGACTTAGCGCTGTAGCAGCTTCCCATGCAGGTGACTTCCTGTTAGCAACCTCAATGTCAGCAACCGGCACCCGTCTCACACCGCAGGCCCTTCGAATTGCCGTGGCTCTCCGCCTCACTTCCCCAATCCACACCGAATACAGGTGTATTTGCGGCGAGGTAATGGCTGACAGGTACGGACGGCATGGCCTTCTCTGCCAAAGGACAGGAAGATGGCATGGAAGAGGTTAACAACATTATTAAGAGAAGCCTTACCACAGCCGATTGTCCAGCAGAGAGAGAGAGAGACCCGTTACCTAATGACCTGCAAATCTCATGAGCCTGTCGGTCGCCCAGACAGGATCACAGTGAACCCCTGGAAGAATGGTAGACAGTTGGTGTGGGATTACACTTGCGTTTCAACTTTAGCTAACAACCTATGTTGACTTCAGTGCTGCACAGGCAGGCACAGCTGCTAATCACCGGGAAGCAGCCAAGTTGCTTAAATACAGAGATTTTGATCACCACTACAATTTTTTCCCCATTGCCTCAAAGACACTTGGTGCCTGGGGTAAAAGTGCTGCTATTTTTTTAATGAGCTGGGTTCTAAGCTAATAGAAACAACTAGAGACCCTAGAGCCACAAGTTTCCTCTTTCAGCGTCTTAGTGTGGCGATCCAGAGAGGAAATGCTCACTGCATCCATGGTTCCTGCCCACCATCTGAGGAGCTAGAGGAGCTCTACAACCAGTGACAGTAGCCTTGTACCCTGAATGTAACCAATGTTGTAACCCTTTTTGTGTTAAGAAATTTTAAATAAAATAAGTAATATATATATATATATATATATATATATATATATATATATATATATATATATATATATATATATATATATTCAGGCATGTTTGCATTTGTGTTCCTCACGTGTGCCCCAAAGA